TATCATCAACACTTGCTCGGCGCACTGAAAAAATAAAGTTTTCATGTCTGTGCATAAGTTTGTGCGCCTTTGAATAGACGATACACTTGAAATGGATTATTTGAAAAACATCGTACGGTCTTTTTCACATGACCTCTTATTTACGGCAATCCTTCCTTGACCTGTTCATACTATTAGCTTAAAGCTTACTGCCTTGGAACAGAAGAAGAAGAGAATTTTCAAGTGAATAATTGATCCTTGGAAATAAGTGCTAACAAAGGCTTTAAATTTTGAAATTACCAATCGACCAATCGACCAATCGAACACCAAACAAACTCAACTTGAGATCTACATATGAAATTTCCAGTCAGTCAGTCAGTCAGTCAGTCGGAGTTTCCATAAACTCAAAGAGTTGTAAACGATGATGAAATGATTTACGCTGCCGAACTGTCTGATTGACTTTTTTTCTTTGTTTTTTGCCTTGACCAGCCACTCAGGGGATGTCGCCTCTGATGCTTGTGTACGTTTGACTTAAAAACAGAAACGTTAGGCACGATGGGAAAGATCGCTCGCTGCTGATAGATTTTTTTAGAGGCGGGCAGTGTGATTGAAGAGCGACGAGTCGCGGTAGTGTGTCGTGTGATGTATAAGTAATACCTGTCCACATTATGTCAGCAATTGAAGATATTGAATGTTTTAGACACACTTTCCTCATCCATGAGCAATTCAGTGCTCGTCTGAAAATGAAAAACTAGGATTTTCTGCAACGCATGAAAGGTTTCTTATGAACACCAGGAAGAGTTAAGATGAAAGAAGCGATTGATTATTCATTAAATTCATTAAGAGATTTTAAACAGATTTAATTAATAGAAAACCTCAACATTACAATTTTCGCCTTTCTCTGTTATCGAAGTGATTGTCTATTAACGCTCCTTTTTTACCCTACACCACTTGTGGCACAGAGTACATTAGATTTGTGCGAATATATGTAAGTATGCTTAAGTATGCTTAAGGTAGATTCACCTTTAATTATGCCGATAGGTCTGTCTGTCCGTTTGCCCTCTCCGGTCTGTTCAGTGTAAATTTGTGTTCAAGCCACAGATTCAGCAAGCATTTTCTGAGAAGTATTGACGAAATGTGGTGCGCTGACGAGTTTTGAACCAGGGACGAACGTCGCTCAAAGGGATTTGGCTCGATCCACTTTTTCAAGCACTCTCCATGCAAAAGGTTTATTTTGAAAAGTTGTTAAATGGAACAACTTCCAATTTTTCTAATCGCTCGACGAAGGCGGCTAAGTAATAGTATTTCGTTATTCTGAATTGGTATGAAAATTTTGGACGGGCCAAATTCAAACCATTTCCGCCTATTTTTGTGATTTTTACGAAAATTTTCCTTCTTAGGGCAAAGGGCATAAAGTTTTAGTATGTTATGATGAAAATGGATCCATAATAGTCGTTTGATGTAAAAATTAACTGCACGAAATTTGAATGAAGTATGCCTATATTCAGATCATGTTCTACCTAACTGCAACGCTGCACCTAGCGACTGGGCTGCACCTAGCAACTGCGCTGCACCTGGCTGCAGGGTATAATCTTCGTGTTCGATAGGAAAAATTAAAATTGTATTGGACAGTGTGGTGTAGGGTATTTAATAGTCGGCCTAGCGCGACTATAATCTTTTCATACTTTTTTTTATTTTTTGTGCTCGCCTTTTGTCAGTTGCATTCCGCAGATTTTTGTTGAATAGCCTGGCAACTGTTTCACTTTCTTTAGAGCATTCGGTTTCGTTCCATATCGACTTCAAAGTTAATGAATTAAACAGAATTCGTTCCTTATTACGGCCACAGTAAAACGCAATTACGAAACAATGAAAATTTCCTTGGGAAAACCTGTCCAAATTTTAGCTTAACTAAAGGACATCAAAAGAAAGGCTACGAATGATAGTGAAAATGATTAAAGATGAAGTGTCCGCGCAATTAACAATGCAAGTACCGTTGCATAGTTACTTTACCGAAGTCATATAACAATATTTTCAACTTGAGTCTGTGGACATGATTTTTCTTCTTTTTTTTTTGGTATTAGAAAAAAGTTGGGTATATATTCCCTCTGGTGAAATATGATGTAGTAAGTTATATCGGAGTTGATGAGAACGACGACAAATTTGAGATGAAATGTTTTCTAATGTAGAGTTACGATCTATATCAACTAGACGAAGAGATTCGAAATATTCGTCTTCTTTTTCTATATGAAAAATGTCAATTTACCTAATGGCTTGTATACATTGATAGGAAGTAAGGTAATTAGATCCTTTTTTATTATGAAAAGATATAATGGGGTTTAACAACCAACCCGTTCGCGGGCTAAAATCGAAAAAAACTTCGTTACACGAAATGATGTTGAGCTTGTGTAAACCTTTTTAAAAAAATTTCGTAACTTGACATTGAGCCCATTTGAAGAAAGTGAAACGCAATAGCCGAGTAGATAAGAATCGCGGTTACCAAGTCGTTGTTCAGGAGTTGCAATCTTGTAGTGAGTGGGTCAGTTGAAAGAGGCAAAACGCTTATCGATCGCGCGCACAATCAGTGGTGACTGGGTGTTTTTTACAAGAGTTGCATGTACCTAAAAATAGTAACGATGAACAATGACTATCGCTAGAAGATGTTAACTTCCGATTCTTTGATATATATTTCTAACGAACGAATTATAAAATCCAGCGATCGTTGTTTCACGGAACATAAAGCATTTTCTTCGGCATTGGGCCTGCTGTGGTTGGGCAGAAAAAAAAAAAAAAAGAACACAAGGACACAATTTGCTACTTTTACGGGGACTGCGGAAACTTAACGAAAGTACACACGTATCGGCCAGATAAACGATAAGAACGACAACTCTTAATAAGTTTATCAATTGAAATCTTATTTAAAAAAAATCTGAATAGAATCGATACGTCCTTGTTGACTTTTAAAAAGAAAAAAGTTTGGCTATTCAAATTTCGTTACTTCTCGAGTATAGCATAAGTGTACTGTGTTTCTTCATCTTCGCTCTTGGCTTTCTTTCGAAGACTTTTGGAGTTTATCGTTGTGCCCCTCTTGCTCTCATGAATACTTAATATTCTAACAACATAACAAATGAAATGATAAACTATTGAAATAGAACCCGTTTCTTGTAATGCATAAAATGCAATGCATACAATATAGGAATGGGTCTGAGGAAGAGAGATGAGTGGAATAGAAAATATGTTTCGTGTTTAAATGAATATATCTCTCGTGTAATACTCAAGCATATAAAAATGATAATAGTTTATAGTTTCTTCTTCTTCTTTTTATTTTTCATCTTGCTCATCTTTTTCTTCTTCGCCTTCGCCTTCGCCTTCTTCATCTTCTCCTTTTTCACATTCTTAGTTAAAGAAGAACTATCGCCAGTGGTCCTTTTAATCCAAACGGATATCATAATACAATACAATGCAATAGAATACAATACAATACATGTAGCATATAGCGAATGTATTTGGACGTGTATGTACGCTGCTCAACAAATAATAACGTTGGAAAGAGAAAATAAAGGAAAATAAAAAAAAAAAAAAAATCTGAAATGAAATTTTTCTTTTATATTTTAAACTTAAAAACTACCCACATAAATATACGCATACAAACGGTCATACAAATAAACGTATTTGTATTCTATTGTTTGTGTATGTGTATGTATGAATATATCATAAATATAAACGATGACGGAAAGAATGAGAATGCATTACATGCAATTGTGGCGTTATTGTGTGTCCTGCATAAAACGTATCATACGTATTGTGTAGACAAATATATGATTATAAATATATATATATGTATATATATATATATATGTATATATGAATGCATACATATAGTCATATATGTATTTATATATTTGAAGGAACCTATTGTATTATTTAGCTAAAGCATGCTTATATCTATGCATATATATATGTTGGCCATATGTACTGGTTTGTATGAGTTTAAATAAAATGGAACACGATGATGACAACCGTGATGATGTAAAGCAACAATTGGCCGCATTTGTTTATACTCTCATCTCCAGCATTCAATAACAAGCCAAGACGCAAAGGTAAACTAAATTGATCAAAGGGTCTGTACAAGTTCTTTATGAAGAAACAAAAAAGATTTCCTTTGAAATGTTTTTCAATATTTTTTTTTTTTTGCATTTTATTAATGAAATTTCGCTCGACTTTTACTTTTACACCAGCCATCACTATTATTATTACTATTATTATTATTATTAGTGTTTTTCAAGTTTTCCCCTCGATCCGATTTTGACAGATGGATAAATTGACAAGATAATTTATAATGTATGGATGGTATAGCATAGTATATTAGCTTTAGCTTATATTTTATTCGTTTCTACCCTTTTCAAAAAATTTTCTAAGCTGTTATCTTATATTCTATTCCTTTTTCTCACATTTTTATGTTTTTCTTTCATTTTATTGTATATGAATTTATTGCAGTTTTGTAGATATTTTTCAAATATGAGATTTTTATATTTATATTATTGTTGTGCGTGTGCAATAAACCACAAAAGGTAATAAAATACAACAGATACGTCTTTCATGGATAAGTAGCTAATGCAGCTACTCTTGTAAAAAATGTGAACATAGAAAAAATTAGTGGATGAAATTTAAAGAAAAAAATCACAAAACAGATATTCTCATCTTTTCTTCTTTTTTTCGGTTTTTTTGTTTTTCTTCTCTTTGACTTTACGGGTGATGTATATTGTGCTTACCAAGAAAAAACAAAAAAAAACAAAAAAACAAAAAAAAAGAAAAACCAAAAACAAAATGAAAGGCCTTCCGTTTTAGTTTTACAATCTTCTACAAGATTACATTAAGTTCAATTCGTTCATTGATTGCTGCTTGTTGCTTGCTGCTTGCTGCTTATTAAATAGTAAGCCTTATTGATAAGTTGATTCTGATTACGAATAAATATTGAGTGGAATCTCGTATAAATAGCTACTAATCATTACACAATGACTTACCCTTGTTGACTTTGCGTTTCACTTGATCCAATTGATTTCGATTGACTTTCACTGCAACGTACACCAATCTCGGGTATCAAATAATCTGCAAAGTAAATTTATGCAAAGAGTTGCTGTGAAATTCCGCTTCTATTGATAATGATAAATGATTGAAAAGAGAATGTATAGTAACGTGTAATAAATAAGTAATGCAACGAGTCCCTCTATAATTTTGAGATATGTATTTCACTTTTATTCTTTTGTTTTTCTTTTCTATTTATTATCCGTAAATATGTTTTACTTTTCAAACGGATTTATTCGACGATCCAAGAGTTTGTTTAACTTGACGCTGCATAAACAAAAAGTTTTTAGTTACATTAATTTTTACAGATTTGTATTATTCAGTGTTTAACGTAATATAAATATTTTGTTGAACCGTTTCTCCACGATTAAATGCGAGCGAGGCCATACATTCTATCATCTCCTTTGCGATAGGTAATATGGCGGCCGTAACAAAATTATCGGTCCATTGGCGACTTTACGTCCTAACGCCTGGAAAAGTTGTACCGAGCTATTCGAAATATTTAGCGAAAGTAAGGTCTTCACGCTGAATATTTCAAAGGGCACTCGATAGGGTATGACATGATACTCTTATCCGCAAACGGATTACATTTGACACAGAGGTCAGAATCAAGAGCTATTTAAAGGATCTGTTCTTCCTGGCGGGGTGCGCAACAAACGTTGTATGATCAACGATATATTAAATCGAGACCTCATAAAAAGAGCAGAATGGGCTCATGGTAATAGGATACATTTTTAGCGGCAGCAAAATACAGTGCTTTTTTTCAGCGGACAGAGGTAGCCCTCTCCTTTAATGGTATCAAGGTAGAATAATCGGCAACCCTTGCTGTTCTCCGCCTGCGAATACAAAATGATGTTCGCTGGAGAGAATATACATTCAGGACGTCGAAATATGAAGTCAAGGGCTTAATGTTTTCAAAGCGATGGTAATAAATTTTTTACTGCAACCGATATCCTCGTATGTGTGAGCGGGAGACGTTCAATCGCATACAGTAAAAGTGCTAGTTGTTCGTGGGTGTCGAAAGTGTGTCCAAAACGCTCGATAATCTCGAGAATCGGTGTAGTGTGGGGTGTATGGGGCATCTGTGCAAGTAGATATAGGGGGAGGTAAGAGAGATTTGTCCACCAGTTAAGTCTTCTACGAGACCTACAAGCATTTCTCAGTGTTCCCATCCACTCGTCGTGAAATTGCTTGTATATTGTACGAAATACTACGTCAACTAACGCTTCTTTAATCACACTGCCCTTGTAGAAGAGAAAAACTGCGTAAACCTTCGGAGGACAATGCTTGTTCGTGGTGTTTCCTATGAACGGTAGGTGGTTCTTTCAAGGCTCTTATTTATTAAAGCTGCTCAGCTGTTCGACAAGGAAGGGCTTAAGGTTTGCTATCTATAACAGGCGTGGGCAACCGATGGACCATGGTCCGTATTCGGCCGGCATATCATCGGCTTCGGCCCACTGCGTTAAAATTTCGCATAGTAATGCTACCGCCTCATGTATGCCGGCATCAAATATGAAGTGTGTTTTTGTCTACTATACCAAAAAAATAATCGATCTAAAAAGAAGCATCTTCAGGCCTGAGCCGTGATATGAAAATCAAAACTTTGGCTCATAGTTGGGAAGAGTCGCCAATCCATGAGTTATAACCAACCAACCTGGAAGGATATATTTGTTCTCCCATAAAGCTCTCCTGTACAGTGTTCAAATCTACTCAAGTTTTGATGTTACTGCGAAGTACCAGTAGGTTGGGGCACACTTGGATGTGGGCTATGTAATGACGTTTCCCAAAACAGTATTTACTAGCGAAACGGTTGTGCGCTGGGTGGTCCAAACACAGGCGTGGCTCTGTTTGCGTACGGTAACATAACACCTAAAGCTGCATAGAATGGCGTAAGTTCGATGGACGACAACTCATCAAGTTGTAGGCGTCCAAGGGGGTCAGATTGTATTTTGAAAACACAGGTGGTCTCAGGTTGCACTTGCGTCGTGTCCTTCGACCAATGTGTCTTACTTTCAAGACCCACCTGCTTCCAAGAATTTCCTAAAATTCTGTCGATAGAGTCATTTTTGCGATCAGGAGAGTTTTTACCATAGACTTTACCGCAGACAGACATATCTAAATCGGTTTAGAAACTGACGTTGATCAAGAGTATGTACATACTTTATAATGTCTCTGAAGCTTTCTTCTGGATGTTGCAAGCGTTTTGAGGAAATGATAATGATCCTCATACTTCCTCCTATGTCGTGACAAAATTAAATAGTCGTCAATTAGCGGAACTGCTTGGCCATAGGAAAGAAGGTAATGGGATGAGAAGTTTGTTCCCGGAGAAAAGTAAAAGAAGTATATTCATTCTCTTTCCATCAAAAAAATGTTGGTTAACTTGGCTTCGCAGTTTTCTTTTACCCCCGTTGTCACAAGTGGTGTATTAAGTTTAAGTGCCTTAATTATTCGTGGTAGATAGAAGTATGCATCTGAGCCGAGACGCAAACAAGCAGAAAAGAAAAAATTTTGTTTACTTCCTGCAACTGTCTTAAAGTCTTCAATTAACAAAAAACTGTTTGTGGTGAAATCCAAGGTTCGCTGCAAAGCGAAAATTGCTTACCTTTCGGAATCGTGCTACAGTTTGGGGAATTTCATTATAAATCTGTAGTTGTATTAGATAAACGAAAGTTATAAACTGTTTAGGTAAACTTTCCAAACTGTTCGATTCAGTGAGTAATAAGTTGTACAGCAAGCATTCTTATGTTTGTGTTTAAAAATGAGAAACTTTTTAACTCACAATATTTGAAAAAGCTCTTCTAACTTTCCTTTATGTGCTTGAAGAAGCTTTTTAAGTGCTTTCGAAAGGATGTTTTTGGTACGTAAAAATTTTTTTTGTGATAAGTCGTTCATTACGCAGAGAGCTTTAGTAAAAGCTTGAAAGTGTGTGTCCTTTGAAAAGCTGTATTTTTTTTACTTACCCTTCGATTGCTGTTGTAGTTGCTGCTGCATGTGACTGGTTGGTATAAATTCCTCATGTTTTTGGTCCCCTTTTTCTTCATAGTTAAGCTTATACTCCGAATGTTTACGCAGTGACATTAATAACGATTGCGTACGTGGCGGTATTTCCGGTGGCGCTGGCTCTGGCGGTGGTTCACCGTCATCATCATCGTTTAATTCTTCAATATTTCCTCCGCCCCCATCCAATATAATGGAAGTGTCAGCCGAGCTATCCGCTGCGACATGAGCTTGAGCATATTCACGTAATTCCATTTGTAGTTGTTGTAATTTTAATTTTTCACGTTCCGAGCGACCAGTATTACTAACAGTAGCATTACTATTGGAAGACGTGCCACTACTCGATGTAGTCATACCGTTTGAACGATTTAAAGGACGACCGTTTTTAGAACGACGAGTTGACTGAGTTTCGCGTACAGAGCCACCGAAACTATTGGCCAACGAATTGGTTGTGATCGGTAACATGAACGCGCTATTTAAAATCCCGTTACCGTACTCAGAGGAATTTTGTAAACGATCTAACATGATAGCACTACCCGATAATGATAAACGATCACTAACCGAGTCCGAATTTGATTGTGAATCGTATTTCGAGTTTAGGAAAGGATTTGTACTGCGAGCTGGTTTCGTGGGTGTAGGTAAAAATCCACCCAAACTTGTTGTTATTGTAGAATTATTGGCATCCAAATATTTATGATTGGCAGTTATTGTTGTTGTTGCACTAGTGGACGACGTTGTTAGTAACGTAATGGTAGCAGACGTATTGGCAGTCTTTGACGGCTGATGATGTTTTGCAGGTGAACATAATGCTGTGCTTTGTTGTTGGGGTGAATCGTTATGTTGCTGTTGTAGATGATGTAAATAGTTTGGAGTATCGTTGGCATTGGAGGATGAATCACGATTTTTGCTACACGGATATTCACTTAAACGCGAAAAGATCTCCTCATTTTCCAGGTCGGAAGTGTAATTATCCATATCTGCAAAACCAAAATAACAAAATGAATAAAAAGAATGATATGACGAATGAGAGAAGCGTATGAGGAAATGTTTTCATCTATTACAAGCAAGGATAATCAAATAAGGATAAATGAATGAGGGTCGAAAGAAAGTTCATATATGATGGTACATAGCGTATATAATCTTCTTCTACATCTTTTCTATTTTTAATTCTTTAGAACTGCAAGTACATTACATGCAATATCGGTCTAAATTTCACACAAATCGGTATACTGAACCGAGCGTACTATATATCTCCGATCGATTGAGAAGTGTAGGATAGTTGAAGGCTACCATTGTCTGACTATAAAATTGGTACTTGCTTAAGAAAGATAATCATATCGAGAAATAAAAATTGGTGCGGGAGGCTTCGTGGCTTAGTTGGTTAAAGTGCCTGTCTAGTAAACAGGAGATCGCGAGTTCGAATCTCGCCGGGGCCTTTGCTCTTTAGTCGTTTCATTTTTTTTTTTTTTTATTCTTTTTCCTTTTTCAAGACACCAGGGTGAAAATAAGAGCCCCGAAGAGTTCTGGGTCCGCCGAAGACTTTATTTAATATTTATTCACTCATTCACTCCCTAATTCTCCAGGAAGTGTTTACCAATTTATTGCATGCCTTCGTGCAGCGGCACCAAGCGATGATTTAGTATTTCGACATTCTAAACTGGTATGGAAAATTTGCTTTGGTAGATGTAATTCTTTGACATCCTTTCATACATACGTTCGAAACCGAACAATGAATCTTTATGTGGTAAAAAGCTAGGATTTTCAATATTTCGTCGTGAAAAAAGTCGGCCTCATCGAATATGGACGACATTGGTCTATTTCAATATCTCTCGCGAAATATGAACGTCTTATGTACCAAAAAGGCCTAACTGTTAATGTTTAATGAAAGTGGTGAGAAGTTGTCCATTATGGTAATCGACATAAGAATTACGTGGAGGAAATTTGAACCCTATGATTTTATATCTTGGGTAAGCCCTTCCGAAGAAAGTGTAATTCTTAATAGTTAATGAAGAAAATTGGTTCATTATAACCACTTAACATAGATGTATTTTTCAGACCCTAACACATATATAGGGGTTATCACGGAAAGCTACATCTTAAATGGAGAGAAAGTGTAATTTCCAATTTTGTGTCCGTCCTCTTACATGCAAGCTTCCATGGAAGCTATGTCTTTGCATGGTGTAACATATCTAGTGGCCGGCCTCGCCCGACTTACTAAGAGAGTAAACCAATGTAATATGAATCGTTGATGAGCATGTATCCCAAATTTATTTTTTGGAAACGATCGCTTTTTACACGACGCAGTAATCCATTTCCAATAATCATCAAACTAACTAGTTTAACATCGAGAGATTGATTTGCTCATTTACTGTTGAGTTAAATATCATTTGAAACGTGCAAAAATCACTGCATTGCACAAAGTGCGGGAAGAGTAACGATTTTTATTTATTGACAACTTGTCAATTAGTGTTTTACTTATATGACGAGCTTGTTGGTGTAATGAATATTTTTTATCGTCAAATTACAGGTCTTCACCTATGCGACGAGCTCCTTGATGTCACAGGTGCATTATTAATAAATTTAATAATTTCTTTTTTGTTCTGCGTTTTTTTGTTTTTTTTTCTTCATAATCCAGAATTCAATTAGTTTCACTGAAGCTTGAAAATTTTATTTAAAATCTGATATAGCGGATAAAATAAAATAAAGTTATTTTTCATCATGGCTCTAATCTTTGTGAATCCTCTTATCACTTTAGCTGACTAATTGAAAAAGATTTTTTTTTCTCTTTTTAATATAAAATCTGATCGTCCACTGGCATATACATTCAGGTACGGAAACAATTCACGACAATGACCACAAGCATTCTTTTGCTTATAGACACAACTACTATTACTGCTACGGCAACGGCCACGTCAGGCGCATGTTGTTCAAGGACAAACACATATAACAATAACATAAATTCATAGATATGTAGCAGTAAAGGGATGAACTGGTGGACTAAGTTTACCAGAAGCAAAAAAAAAAATAAAAATAAAAAAAATAAAAAAAATAAAAAATACAGAATAATGAAAAGACGAAAAAAACAGCGACAACTTACTTGCCAATTGCTGACTTTGCAACAACAGCTGGGCCAGCAATTGTGTATCGAATGCTGAGGTTTGACCCGTGTTCTGATACTCATCCTCACTGCTGCTATTATAGCCGTGACGACTATGCCATTCAGCTGAACGTTGCCGCCGCATCTTTTCACCGCCACTAAAATAATATTCACTACCGGCGGCACTGCCGCTGACACCACTACTGCTGCCGCCACGTTTACGGCCAATTGTACCGGAATGGCTGGACATTTTGCCCACTTGCTTCTATTAAATTGTTACAAACGTCCGTCCTGTTTGCACTGGCTTATCTTGTATCAGTTTATTACGGTGCAAAGTCTCTTTATAAACGGTAGATGAGAAAGCCTCCGTTGTGTACCCAGTGCACATATGAAATGATCTCCTAGATAATGGCCAGAGCTTGTGGTCTGATTTTAATGTTTTCTTTCCCATGTAATAGTATTTGATTTATATACAGCATGGGTCGCATGGTTATAAAATGTGTTTTCAACACTCTTTGCTTCCTGTGCTTCTTTCTCTATTGTTTGTGTGTCGGTTATGCATCGTAGCTGCAAAAAAGAAGAAAAAGAGAATTTATTATTTTACATATATTTAATTAATTATAATAGTTCACAATCGCATATATGACGACCATAAGCAGTCCTTTGAGAATTTTATGAAAACTATTTTCTATGTCTCCTGGATAATAATTAAAAAAAAAAACTAAAAATAAATTAAAATAAAAAAAAGGAAAGGAAAAAAGATGAAAAGACAAGCGATAGAAAAAATCCCTTTTAATAAACCATAAACTATACTTAAGTGTCATTTGTAATAGCGTTCTTACAAATGTGCAATGCATGCATGATACTCAAAGAACAATTGTAGTACGTGTCTGCCATTAGATATCAAGAATATCAGCAAATTATATTTTTTACGTTACATCAACAAATAATTGTGATTTATGGCATTATTCTCTCACCTAAGGGTTTGCATTCGGTATTTCACACACACACACACACACACACACACACACACACACACACACACACACACA